AGAAGCTGTTGTACCGTTCTTGGCAAAAGCGCTTTGGGCTTCTACTATGTGCAGTTTTAGGAAGGGTCTCTGCTGAAACTTCTCCCTGAGATCAGCTGTGCTGAGCACCTGACTCAGCCGTTCGCATGGTTGATGATTCTTCTCTTGTCTCTCATGGAATCACGATTTCCTGTCTCCGGTCCGTAGCATTCTCTAAACTGGGGCACTCGTCACAGGTAGAGGAGCAACAAGGTGACGGGGTGTCTGCTCAGCATGTTTGTGGGGGAAGCGTGGGAGGTGGGGTCTGAGAGGTGGCCGGGAGCTAGCTTATGTCGGGCTCTGTGGGCCACTCTGAGGACTCGGACCTGATCCTGGCTGATATGGGGAACCGATGGAGGGTTTTGAACCAAGGAATGATAAGATCTGACTCGCATTTTGACAAGATCTCTCTGGCCTGTCCGTAGCTTAGCCACAATTAAGTGGCTGAGGGTGGAAGCAGAGACATCAGCTCCAGAAGTCACTGAAATGATCTGGATGAACAACACTGGTGGCTTGGACTAAGATGTGGCGCTGAAAGAGCAGGAGAGGTCAATTTCTAGATAGGTTCTTAGTAGAGACACATGCTTTGGGATGGCCTGGAGGTAAGTTGTGAGAAAGAGGAGGCATCCAGAGTTTTGGCCTCAGCCCCTGGAAGGCTGGAGTGATCACTTACTGAAATGGAGACGACCGTGGAAGGTTAGGTGTTGGGGTGGGAATCAGGAATTCATTCTGGACATAATAAATTTCAGATGCCAATTAGATCCAAGTGAAGTTGTTGGATAAACATTTGTATATGTATGCAAGGGTGTGTGTGTGTGTACAGGGGTCATCAGCATTTAGGAGGCATTTGCAGCCCTGAAACTAGATGAGGTCACCACGAGGATGAAAAGATAAGAAGTCAGGGGAATGATCTGGGACTCTGCACCTTACAGGGGTCAGGGGAGCTAGGAAAGGAGCAGGTAATGAGATGAGAAGAAAATCTAAAGGGAATGATGTTTCAGAAGCCAAACTGAAAAAAAAAAAGGTTCCAAGGAGGGAGAGATAACTTTGTCATGCTGCAGGTGGATCAGTAAGATGAGGTTTGAGAATGAATATTGATTTAGCCACGTGGAGGTCATTGGCTTCCTAAACAGGAACAGTCTGAGTGCAGTACCGGGGATGAGAGCTGGAACTGGGCTTGTTCAGGAGACAGTGGGAGGAGAGAGACTGGGCACAGTGAGTCTAGGCAATTCTTTCACGATTTGTAAATTAGAGGAAGGCAAAGGGATCATAGCTGAGGGCAGATGCAGGGTCAAGGTTTTTTTCCCCTAACGTTGAGATATAAACAAATGTAATTATATGGCTGATGGCAGGAGAGTGGGGTATAGATGGTGTGGGGAAATGTGGAAGGATTGCTGGGCACTGTTAGGAGTCCTCTTTGAAGTTAGTGGTCATGAATTTAAGGTGAAACCAGTCAGTGGGAGTGTTTGCTTTTCTCCCGTCTGTGCAGTGTGGGTGGAGAAGTGGATTTAACCAGAATTGAAGTTTGGTGGGGTGAATGCACTGCCAGGAGAGAGGCAAGGGAACGAGGTGAGTCTCATGCTGCACCGTGGATCTAATCTGAGGGGGCAAATGAAGACATGCTGGGGATGAGACAGTAAAAGGACTGGAAGACTGAAGGATTCTGGGCTCTAATGTGGCTAAAGGATCAATAAAATTGATACTGGAAAAAAATTAATGTATGGTGAGAGGAGGGCTGTTTCTCAGCTCTCATTTGACTCTCTGGGATGTGGCCCACCAAGTGTGGGTCCTTGGCCTTGTGCAGAAAAGAATTCAAGGGCGAGCCACTGTTGAGTAAACACAGATTTATTTAGATATATACTCCATAGAGTGTAGGCTGTTTCAGAAGGCAAGAGAAAGGCCATGACATGTAGGGGTTGGGTGCTTAGATTAAAGTAAAAGTAGGTACACACTCTGCAGAGTGCGGGCCATCTCTGAAAACGAGGCAATGAGAGAGGTGGCCACGCAGTGTTGCCAGTTTTTATGGGCTCAGTAGCTTCATGTGCCAACAAGTGGGAGAACCATTCCAACTACCCTGGGGAAGGGGCTGGGATTCCCAGGAATTAGGCCACCACCCACTCTTTGACCTTTTATGGTTAGCCTGAAGCTGTCACGGCACCTGTATGAGTGTCGTTTACCATGTTAATATTACAGTGAGCATATGATGAAGCCCAAGGTCTACTAGAAGTCAAATCTCCTGCCATCTTGAGCCTCAAAGTCTACTGGGAGTTGAATCTTCCTCCATTTTGGTGTTAATTGCTGTGCCATTCCTTGAATGGCTGTGCCCTGCCCCCTTCCCTCCTGTCTCAAAATCAGGGCATTGGAGGAAATGCTCTGGAAATGTCTAAGGTGGTCAGTCAAAGAGTAAAGAGCCTGAAATTGAGACTGTGGAGGGGGCGCAGGTATTGATGGTAGAATCAGTCATTCCCAACCATGAGCAGTTTGCTCTCGAGGAAGGGACATTTTGCTGTTGTCTAAGGACATTTTTGGTTGTCAAAACTGGAAGGGGAGAAGATGGTACAGACATTTAGTAGCGGTCAGGGATGCTGCTGAACATCCTGTAATGCACAGGAGAGCTCCCACAACGAAGAGTGATCTGGCCCCGTCATCACCAGTCCCACGGTTGACAAGCCTGGTCTAGGGTGTGATCATGGGAATTAACATCTGGGATAGGCCTGAGGATACAATTATTGGAGAAGATTAAGAGGCCAGGGTTTTGGAAGGCTCTCCTCATGACTAACGGAGTCTCCAGGAATTATGACAAGATAGGAGATCTTTCTATCCAGGGATAAGAGGAAGTTAACTAGCTGGCATGGAGTCGTTCCATTTCTCTGGAACTAGCTGACTGGCTGGAGTTGGAATTCATAATCCTGGCTCTGAGAGCTACCCATCCAGATTAGCTAAAGAGTGATGGTGTGTTGTTGTTTTTAAAAGCCGCCTGTTTATTAACCAGCTTTGGCATAATTAAATTGTCTGCCTTAAATAGATTGTCCGAAAGCCCATTTAGGAATTTGGTTGGTCTGTTTGGTCAAAATTCCATGACTGTACACTTGGGCACCTGGCCTAGTTCCATCTTTAAATAACGTCTCAGGGTAATGTTCTTGGAACCAGGCCTCGTGGCAGGGATCTGGTTTGAGAACGTCCTTGGGAAAGTTTATTTGTCGACTTTAAAAGACTGTGGCCTTCCTCGCAGTGCTCGTCATGGTGGAGAAAACGAGTCGAAATCACACAGAGTAACTAAGGGTTACGCGCCAGTGCCGCTCCCCGGGATAAGCCGGCCCAGTCGTCCAGTCTTGTGCTTTGTCCTTCATTTTGAACTCAAGTGCCCCAGGGCTGCTTTCTGCCTACCCACAATAGCAAGGAACGTCTTTTGTTTGCTTCTTGTTTGAAAGAAGGGCTTGTTTTGAGGTTTGGACCACAAATAATAATCCATTGTTCCCTAGAATAATAATCTACCCTCTTTAGCAGAAAAAAATCTGCCTGATGCAGTGTGGCTATCAGTTTATTTAGAAGAATGGCCAAAAGTGCCCATTGTGTCCTGAGGATAAACATTTGGAAGATGGTTGGGAGGAGTGGGGGAAGCCTCCTGTTCTCCTTGGCCTGGAGTCAGAGTTGAGACATGAGGAAGAAAAAATTCTGAATATGACCGTCAGCCCCGGGTGACAATACCCTCCCTTATTCTGCTCATCGGTTACATTCTAAGAATAACTGGAACACTGCACACAGGGATTCTCTCCCAACTATTCCTTTAAAAACTATCTTCTTTTGAAAACGGGTGTTTTTAATCTTTCCCGCACGAGCTCTCATTGTTTCCACTTTTAGGCCGACTAAGCTTCTTTCTAACCTTCAGTCACGAAAGCGTCCTTTTTGAGTGCAGGTTATTTTACTTTAGCAGCAATCCCTGAATTCCTGCAGTTGCCTCTTATTACAAATCTCAAAAAAAAAGCTGTTTTTATGTTCCAAGTAGTAGACATTTTAATTACTACTTCCTGAGCTTCTGCTGACTGGAAAATACTCGGTGGGTACATGAAAATGTGACCCAGCGTGGTCAGCTGTTTCTTGAGTACACACATATCCCGTGCACTGAAGTCTCAAAGTAAGTAAGATTTCACTAATGAGAACAAGATAAGTTATGCGCTTTTTTTTTTGCTTTAAATCCCTTATAGGAAAAGGATCAGTTAAATAATAAACATGGCTTTAAAATGAAGTGATATCTTACCTAGAATAGTTTTAATTGTTTTAAATATGGAAGATGAGAACATTTCCACGTGGTATCAGTTGAAATGTAATGGGTGAATATGAGAATAATTTTAAAAAGTAGAGGGGAGGGTATAGCTCAAGTGGTAGAGCGCTTGCTTAACATGCATGAGGTCCTGGGTTCAATCCCCAGTACCTCCATTGAAAAACCAAATAAATAAATAAACCAAATTACCTCCTCCCTGCAAAAAAAAAAAAAATAGAAAAATAAAAATATGACCTCCACATCAAAAACAGGCCACCAGAGAAGTCTGATGAGATGCCCTTCAGTAGACGAATGGATAAACTGTGGTCCATGCACACAGTGGCTGTTATTCAGCAATACAGTGAACGGGGCTGTCATGCCACGAAGTGACACGGAGGAAGCTTAAGTGAATATTGCTAAGTGAAAGAAGCCAGTATGAAGAGGCTACATTTACTCTCTGATTCCAACTGTAGAATATTCTGGACATTAGTGCTACGCTAATGCAAGATGTTAGTAATAGGGGGAACTGGAGCTTGCGGGAAAGGGGAAGGAATATCTAGGAGCTCTCTCCTTTCTGCAAACCTCAAACTGCTCTAAAAGATAAAGTCTATTAATTCAAAAGAGAACGTAACTATTAGCTATAGCTGGACTAGTGAAAAGTATCTTCTTACCAAAAAAAAAAAAAAAAAAACCAAATCCCAGACTCTCAGCCAGTTATCCTGTTTATAGGAAGTACCTGGCTATACAATACTCCGCCTGAAATGTGTAGTACACCGTGGCGGTGGATTACGGTATATGTCTGGTAACGTTTTTGTATCTTTTCTTTGTCCTCTGATAAAAAGATGCACAGTGATATTCATGCTAATAAATCCCGCTCCTTAGCTCTCCCGTTCCTCTCTCCCCAGTGACTGCTGGCGTGTCGGCCTTGGAGGTATATACGCCAAAAGAAATCTTCGTGGCCAATGGGACGCAAGGGAAGCTGACGTGCACGTTCAAGTCTACTAACATGACCGGCACGTTGACGTCAGTCACCTGGAGCTTCCAGCCGGAAGGAGCCGACACCACTGTGTCGGTACGAACGACTGTCTGCTCTCTGCTAGTCCTGCCCCCCGGGGTGCTTTCCTGCAGTGGTGTAATTAGTGATCCATTCTCCGGATTGTCCACTTCCAAGATGACTGAGTTTGTTATCTACTAGAGACTTCAAGGCCCTTCTCTTCCTTTGGACCCTCTAGGAAAAAATAAGTTCAGCATCCCTTAAATGCAGCTTTTTGTTGGTATCGATACATAGGTGCTGGGTTGGAATACATACCTGATTTCGAAGTTTTTGAGCGGACCCGTGTACCTCAGGATGTATGAAAGGGAAGGACGGAAAGGTGAGGTACAGTCAAAGATTACAAATGTAGGTAACTTCCTCACTGCGTCCAGCTGGGTATGACTCTGTGTAAAAGAGTCCCAGAGTGAGTGAGGACAGGAACCCACACAAATGTCATGCAGAAGCAGAGCCAGCTTCCCATTGACATGGCATTGTTGCAGAACACGTGTCCTGTGGATGCAGAATTAAACACACACATTTACTCAGGAGAGTCCAAAGAATTACTGAAACTGGTGAAGATTTCCCCCTGACACCTTTGGCCAGCCTTGACGTGAGGGCATTGTTTTATCTCTAGAAAGTGAAGCGTCATTGGGAAGACACCCACAGGTCATAACTTTCTCTACAAGAACAGTTCCATTTATGCTCAAAAGAGTCCTGTCATGTGGGTCAAAGCCTCTTTACACACCTCAAGACTTAATATTTAAGAACATGCTGGATTTCTGAGTAATGTTTTTAGCTCATCAATTTATACTTACACACCAATCTGATTACAGTTAATTCCAGAACTTTCAGCTACTGATACAGGGTCCTTTAACTCCCAGATGTCAGTGCACAGTCAGTAAGATGAGCTGGATGCTCTTCATTTTTATAGATTTTCAGGAGAAGTAAAAATCAAGCCTGACATGCCATTGGTGGCTTTTCTGGTCCATGAGATTAAGATCTGCATGTCTAAAACAGAATTCATCTTTTCTCCCCTCTGCTTCCCTTCTCTGCTGGTTCTTTTTGGGTACTTTTGTTCCTCTAGGGACCTGATTTTCTAAATCTTAAGAGTTGTAGGGTTTTTTGGGTTTTTTTTCTGTCCTTCCCTCCACCATCCACTACCCTTCCCTTCCACCCCTCATACCCATCCCAAGAAATAAGAACATTTGCAGGTTCTTCCTACTTTGTTTCTGGGATGTAGCTTGTTGTCAGTCTTCCTGCTCCTCTGCTCTCCATTAAGTAATAAATGCTGTTCCAGGACTGGCGCACTAGCCCCCTTGGTTATTCCTCCACTTTAAGTCATCCATCTTTCATCCCACCCCTATAGTCCGCCAGGGACCTCGTCTTACAGCGGTGCTTCCACCTCGCCCCGCCCTCGTCCGAATCCTCGCAGGTCCCCGCCGCGAACCATGCTCATCTTGGCTTCACAGCTCCTCCCAGGTCGCCTCCAGCCCCACGTCTGTCCTCTCATGGGATCACCTTCAGTCTTAATAAAAAGTGCTTTATGCTTTGTTTTTCCACTTCTGAACACTTGCCGTTTAGGTTTTACCCCATCCCCACATTCTGATGTCTCCGTAAGATCTCTTTTGACCTTTTTAGCTGTTCTTAAGCCTCACTCCCCACATTATCTGGGCCAGTCCTGTGAGGTAGCGTCCCTTTCTATGACAGTTTTTCTCTTCTTCATCTCGAATGTAAGCATTTTGAGGGTAGAGACCTATCTTACACCTTTGGTGACCCTCATGGTTTTAGCACCATGGCTTGTACATTATAAATATTAGTTAATTAGGAGATCTAGTCCCTTTTTTGTGTGTGAGCTTTTTTTTAAACCATTTCACTTCTCTCTTTCTTACTGGTCTGACCAAAGCATTGTTAATCAGTTCATTTCAGCAAACACACCCAGTTCCTGTGATGTGCTAAGTGCGGAGAAGTATGGAGAAAAACAAGGCTTAGACCCTGCCCTCAAAGGGCACCTGGTCTGACAGGGCGGGCCGGCTGCGGGAGGGCTGTGCAGACACAGTGGTGGGAAACAGTGGTGTGGGTCTTCATGACCAGTTGAGAAATGCAGGGCAGGGAGTGTTTGCAGCTGAGGTAGGAAAGGAATGCAGAGGCCAAATGCCACAAGGACTGGTTCGCTAAGCTAAGAGTTTATGGTTCATTTCCTGGTAAAGAAGAGAGGCTGAGGAGTTTGGGGCGGGGGAGACATGATGAGACACAAGAGGCATTAAATAGTGCAAACAGCTTAAGCTTTGAAATCAAAGCTGGATTTGAATTCTCTCTCTAAGACCTGTGACTTTGATTAAGTCACTCAGAGTTTCTGAACCTCACTTGCGAAATACCTGGCAGACGAATCTCACCTTGCAGGGTGATTCTGAGCATCAGAGCATTACTTCTTATGGTATTTCACGTTTCTGCACATCTTGCAAATGGAGGCACTGGCTGCCTTTCTTGTACAGTGACTAGCCTTGGGAGACAGACATGGTGCCTCCTGTGGGAGCAAAGGACAGATCTGCTTACTGTCCAATATAGTAAAGAGGATGTCTCCTTTTGGGGCAGAGGTCAGACAAGCTTACTGCCCATTGTAAAAAGTTTGAGTTTCCCAAGCTCGGGGCTCCTCAGCTGTGATGCAAAACCTCTGTGCACAGCGTCCACCTGAGCCCCTCCATGCCATCCCTGTGGGACTTGGGGGGCAAGGGCCACAGATAAAAACATATTGCTTGTTGTTTGTAAGTAATAGGGTCCTTTGTCTCCAAGTCTTCTTCATGAGAACAAAGACTTCACAGGAGTCTTGTGTCTTCTGCCAGCATCTGTAAACCTGTGGCAGACTAGCTGGGAGGGTAAAATCTCAGAGCCTTCATGGTTCCTAACAAGCATGAGGTTATATTAAGTACAAGGTATATATTTGATAAATGGTTGTTGTTTTTTTTTTCAGTCATCATTTAGGCATTAGGTGGAGGATGAATTAGAGGATCTTAAGACCAGTTAAGAGGTCATAATCCAAGATGATGAGGGCATAAAGTCAGGTTCATTGGGAATTAAATAGAAGAGAGAAATTTAGTTTATAAAATCGACAGAATTAGGAGATTAATTGGATGGGAAGGAAGACAGAGGAGTCAGGGATGACTCCAACGATTTATGGTTTGGGAGACTGGCATGTAGCCATCAGTCAAGGTGATGCCCAGGTGGAAGATGGAGTTTATAGGAGAGGGTGGGGACAGCTGGGTGGTACAGTTGAGTAGGCAGCTGGGGGAGGAATCTGGAGCTCAGAGGAATGCTATGGATGAGAGAGAGGTTTGGGAGTTCACAAGATGTAGATGGCCATTAAATCATAGGAATGGGAGAGATTGCACAGGGGTTTCACCTTCCACAAAGGGTTCTGGGAATGGTGCGTTGGATTGCCAGCGGAGCTCAGTCATTGCCCAGTGCTGATTTCCACCCCCGGACCCACTATCGCCCCATCCGTGAACTAGAACAAAGTAAGCCTCCAGCAGAGCTGCTCAGATGGAAGCAGGATGGATCCCCACCCCCGCTGGGCCTGGCCTTGCTACCAGGGGTTTGAATTTAACAGAGTTGCTTTGAGAAATGAGCTCCTTGGCCAAAAGCAGGTCTGAGGAGAGAGTGTGAATGGAAAGAGAATGGGACTAAGGGCTGAACCTGCAAAGGCAGGTGGGAACATTCTGGGTTATCTGGGCTGTGTTCCTCTCACACAGCCATGACTTTTCTGCAGGAAACCAATAAGTAAGAGGCAGAAACACATCAGATTAACTGATCTATGATAGTTAGGCTTATTTTTCTCGATGCCTTTGTGTAGCTTAACGGTAAGCTTTGTGAATTAATGGCTGAAACCTTTGGACTCACTGGCCTCAATCATGGTGTCAGTCAGAGCATTGGCTTTGAAGAGTCAGGTGGCCTTGACTTTGACTCTGGATCTACCACCTGTTATCATTATGACCTTGGGCAATGACTTCTTTGAGCCTCCAGTTCCTTATTTATAAAACTACAGGGTAATTTCCATGTCGCTGGGATACTGAGAGGATGAAAGGAAGTGTACAGGTTTATTTCTTCAACTGAAAAACAGGGCTGAGCTCCATGGTTTCATAGCTTAGGGAGTCGACTATGGTGTGGCACTTCTGTATGACGTCTTTTTAAAAAGACCCTTTTTCACAGCACGCCTGTAATAGTTTCGAACTTCTGCCTTTGAGAATAGCTCACGTGTTCCTTTTTTCTAATTGCAGTTTTTCCACTACTCCCAAGGGCAAGTGTATGCTGGGAATTATCCACCATTTAAGGACCGAATCAGCTGGGCTGGAGACCTTGACAAGAAAGATGCATCAATCAGCATAGAAAATATGCAGTTTATACACAATGGCACCTACATCTGTGATGTCAAAAACCCTCCTGACATTGTCGTCCAGCCGGGACACATTAGGCTCTATGTCGTAGAAAAAGGTACCTCCTTGAGTATTTTTGCAGCAGCAATGCAGTCCCCTTCATCTCATGCTCAGTTAGAGAATAGAGCTTACATTTTAAGGTGTGTTTGAAAGGGATATTTTTGCCATACAGTTATGCTCCCTGTTTCCATGGACCTGCTCTATCGGACATGACTAGGGGTCAGGGAACTCATTCCAGCTGGAGTGGCCGATTTCTCCACTTACATACCTGCTGCCTGGAGCGTATTGATCTGATTCGAGGACCGTGAATTTTTCAGTGTTCATTAGAAGAAAGACCAAATTGCTTATGGTTGGATAGGGTGGACACTGGGAAGGAAGGAGATTAATACTGTTTTCACTTTCTCCAGGAGAAGGTTTTAATATTGGCAAAAACAGTACAGCCATTTCTTGCCTTTTTCAAGACTAAGCGGGAAATGCAGGTTCTGGTGTCTCATTTTGAGACCAAATCTGCTTTTTCTGGAGGAGAGATGGAGGTGAATTCACATCCCCAGGTTTTCTTTGATTTTAGAACGTTGAGAGGGATTGTGTATGCAGAAATGTTTTCAGTTCTGAAGTTCATTCTTTATCAGCTGATAACTTATGTCATCGATTAGACACCAGGATCTCATTATTTGGACAGTAAACGAGTGTGTGGTAATTGCTGAAGACACCTGTTTATTCATTTAATAAAATTCCATTTCTTTTGTCTGTAGCAATGTACCTTCAATCTATTTTGTTCTTTCTCTCTAGAGATTTTGCCCTCCTTTCCAGTCTGGGTGGTGGTGGGCATAGTGACAGCTGTGGTCCTGGGTCTCACTCTGCTCATCACCATGATTCTGGCTGTCCTCTATAGAAGGAAAAACTCTAAACGGGATTACACTGGGTAAGAAACCCTGCTTTGGGAGGGGAAGGGTGGAGGGAAGAAATCAGAGTTTATGAAAACTTCTATATGTTTTATGGAAAAAGAATTGTGAAGAATTAGCTACTGTTTGCTTTCACGTCGGAATGGAGCCGTCGTCTCCTTAGAAGGTGTTCTGACTTGGGCAAGCGGAAATCAGTGGCCTGCTATTTTATGTGGGCTGTGACACTAATCCCCATTCCAGTTTCTTTCTTAGGTCTGCTGAAATGAACTGCTCAGCAGCCTGTGCTCTGTGTTTCAGTAACGTCCACTCTGCAGCTAGTGTTGCTAAGCCACAGACATCACTTACCCAGTATGAGTTTAATTTGAATCTCTTGGTAATAATCTCATAAGGTTCATCTTTTCAGTTAGGTAAATATAACATATAATATAATGTGTAAGCGGAGTTGTGCTGATAAATGACCCCCACATGTGATGATGTGGGGCCTTTCCTGTTTGTGGTTTTGCAAGCCGTTTCCTTCCTTCGGTCATTCTCAAATGCATGGCTAGACTCATCCAAACTGGGATAATAAGAGTTGAACACCAGAGTACACCAGCAATATAGAAAAGCAGACTTTCTTTTTGTTCACGGCATCTCAAAGAGAACGCATTTGAGCGTAGGGTGTGTGTCTAATGCAAGGACCTTCTCTTTTCATCACTCCAGCTGGAAAGCCAGCCCATAGACGCTATGTAGAGCTCACGTGGTAAGACTGAGCGTGAAGGCTGGATTCACGCTGATGCAGCACAAGCTGCGTCCCAGGTGCACGGAAGGGCCTGTGATCTGAGAGGATTGCATGCCCTGGGCTCCCCTCTCTTGGGGTTCTGCTGCTCTACTTTTCAGGAGTGCTGTGTTTTAACGGGTTTGAGTGTTCAAATTTCAGACACTACTTGCTTGAAATGTTTCTATTCTGCTGACTGTCCCTGCCCCCTTGCATGGTGAGTGTTTTATGGTGAAATACAACTGGGGCGTTGGTTTTCAACGTGAGACTAATCCGGGGCGGTGACACATGCCAGTCTCTGTAGTTCATGCTTTCGGGTTAATAAAGGCGCGGACGTGTGTGCCTGAATCCTGCATGGCATCGTGAATGCTGCTGCTCCTCTTCTTACTTTGGTTTTTTCTCCCCTCCCCTACCTGTGCTACCTTGGTGTGCCGGGATCAGATCCTGCTTATCTTCCACTTCTTAAGAAAAGCTGACATAGACGCCACATTGGGACTGTAACAGGGTCTCCTCTTCCACTCCCACTAGACACATGGTAACTAATCACATTGGCCGTTGCTGTTAATATTCATGTGTATGTATTCAGCCCATCTCTCTTGTTGACAACTAGCCGGCTAGCTCTGAGCTAACCCTACAGCTATCATGGTTTGTCCACAAATACGTCACGTGTCTGTGTTAGAAACATGTTGAGTGTGCCATCCCGATGAAACTGGGTTGTCAGGTTACACAGAGGTGTTTTGGTCATCTGAATATATATGTTCTTCATGCAAAATGCCGTGTGTATGTGTGTGTGTGTGTCTGTGTGTGTTAGTTTTCTGTTTTTAAACATGAATTGTATTACTAATGAATGAGACCCTCTTTGTGTTAGAGTACTCAAACCATTTTGGTTTAGGGCATACAGATAGCCTCCCATTTCAGAGAAGACACAGTTTGCAGAATGCATTGTAGGCTTTGGTCTTAGTAACGACACTTTAAATGTGATCCTCTACAAACTCCTAAGATTTTTCAAATGTACATCATAAAGGATTTAAGCTCTCCTGATGACCTAGCCCACTGGGGAATCCCTAGTGAGTTACCTGCTGGCATTCACTTTCCTTGATTGTTTTTAATAAGATAGGGCTTGCTGTTAAAGACCTCTGTGCCTCTGAAAAAGTTCAGCCTGTGTGATGTGGCATTCCACAAGTTTTTTTTTTTTTTTTCCATTCATGACTTCCTGGACTTTCTTTAGTTTGGTTGCAGAATTGGTAGGAAAGGAAACTGTGGGGAGCTGGGGAATGGTAGGATGAGATGGGTCAAGACTGCGAGCCGAGATCTGTAGCTGTGGTTTTGGAAGCACATTTAGAAGAGCTTTTGCCTTTGATGATCACATAAGTGAACTGCTATTAAGAAGGTAGAGCTTGCTCCTTTAAACCTTGATCCCAAAGGAGGATTGACAGCAGGAGGAAAAAGCCAAAGCCCCAAAAGGAAAAATGTACATTGTAGCCAGAATCCCATTCAGCAGATACCTTTACTGTAAACTGGGGCAAAGAGGTTACACAGCACTGGTTTCTGTACCTCCCCCAGAGTAGCTTCACTGACTTGGAAGAATCAGTGTTAGGGATAAAAAGTAGTTTCAAGATATGTGATTGTTTTGATACCCACTGTTTCGTTGAATTTTGTTTTTATACATCTGCTACCCTGTCTTGTCATCACTTGCATTTGTGTTTTTTTTGTTTCCATTTATTTTAATTTTTTTTTTTTTTTTTTTACATTTGTTCTCCAAATTGCCACCTCATCAGCTGCAACACATCAGAGAATGTGTCACCGGTTAAGCAGGCTCCACGGAAGTCCCCCTCCGACACAGAGGGTCTGGTAAAGAGCCTGCCTTCTGGATCTCACCAGGTAACAGCCGAATGCAGTTCTGCCCACTGTCCCCCGCTCTGCCCTTTGATGCTCTGCCACTTTCCGCCGTGCGGAAGGGAGTACTGAGCTGTAAGAGACAGACAGAGAGACAGTAACAGAGAGACAGAGCAAGAGAAGCAGGGGGGATTAAAGGGCTGGTTTAGGAGGACCATAAGAAAATAGGCAGAGAAGAATCTGACTTGCGTAAAGGTTTCCACCAAACCACCAACAGATTGTTCACAAAAAATGTAGTTCTTCTGGCCCAAGAGAAATTAGGAAATGGCTTTGTCAGATGTAAATGAGTCTTCCTTAATTGCTCAAGGAAATAAAGTGAACTAGAGACTATTCTGCGGTACCCTGTAAGCCATGGAATTTACAGGAAGATGTTGATCTTGGTATTGATAGTAAAACAGAAAAACTATTTTGTATGAACCCTTTCAAAGAAATTGACAATAAACACTTACTGAATAATTAGTAGGCCTGATGAACAAGGAAAGACTTTGGCTTCTACTTCTTATAGAAAGTACAGGGAAGAAATAACTTTTATTTGGAGCTTAGCACAGAATCTAGCACTGTGGCTACTGCTGTGTTTTGGCTGTGCCGGTGTGACTGTGACTGTGGCGTGGCGGAAACTCCATAGCTTAGTGGTTCTGTTCTTCTAGGGGAGAAAGCATGATAAGGAATTTGGCCAGTTATAACTTTGCCCTGAGGAGGAGTCGCTGGGGGTGTGGTGGGGAGAATGGATTTAAGAGGAAGTGAAGAAAGGAATAACTGTGTTGTGTGGACGAAGTCCCCCACATGGGTAGTCCACAGTTGTCATATGTGCTGGAAAAGCTGAGGCGTCATGGTGTTAAAGCAGGCTCCTTGTTCCTAGTCTGTCTGTACAGGTCTTTCATTATCTCTTCCTTCTCTCTCACTCTCTCTCAGATCATGTACTGTACTTCAGATACCTTGGTTCGCTTATTTTGTCTTATGACTGGGAATAGGGTTATGAATAAAGGCATTAGATTTGCAGACAGGCGTAACACCTAAAGAAGCCATGGAAACCTTTCTTCCTGCCCTTGAAGTGCCATGGGAGTTGTTCTCCTGTTGAAAACAAACTAGGGGAAAAAGAATAAAAGAAGCGATGGTTTTTAGACACTGGAAAGCAGGTTGTGCAGCACCGTAATCCCTGAGAGAAGGGAAATAAACAAGGGGAGCCCTGTGCTTGTCCCAGCTTACTGCCTCCAGGCAGTTTCCAGGCTGCGGAGCTGAGGGGAGTTGGAAACAGAGCTCAGCTGTCTCTCACTGAATGGAGGAGGCAGAGAGCAGAGTTTGGGGAGGCCAAGGGGGCTAGGATGTAGGGGGCAGGGTACTAGAGAAGAAGAAACCATGCAGAGAGAGAGTGTCAGGATCTGGAGTCGGTCCCTTTGAGCCTTTGCTGAGTACAGACTTGTGCATGTTTGGGCAAAACCTCCCTGTGACCAGAGAAAGAACCGCCTGAAAAGCACTAGGTTATACAATGTCTGGAACATACACAGGGCTGGGAATCATTTGTGTTCCTAAAAGCCAGAGAGGAGAGAACTCATAACATACAGGGTATTGGTTGGAGTCCTCAGAACGGTCACGCCTTAGAAGTGGAGCTAAATTAGCACCAGATGACAGATACTGTGGACCCACCACAAGGAAGCCTTTAGAGAATCATATTAATCTAAGAGTAATCTACGTGCACACCAGAACAAAATCTGATAGTCTTTACAAGAATACAATAAAGTCCAACATCTGCCAATGAAAAATTCACAATGTCAGGCACGAGTCAAAAATTACCAAGCATAAAAAAAGGAGGAAAATAAAAATACCTAACCAAGAGAAAAATCAATCAATAGAAACAAACCCAGAAATGACATCGCTGATGGAATTCATACACAAAGACCTTAAAACAAGTATTATAAATTTTATCAATAAACTTAAGGATGTAAAGGCAAGCTTAACAGTGAGGAGAGAATTAGAACAAGGATCAAAATGGAACTTCTGGAAATGAAAAAACATGGGATGGCTTGAACAACAGATGAGACACTGTAGAAGAGAAGTTCAGTAAACTAGAAGAAACAATGGAAACTGAACAAAATGAAGCATAAAAGAAAGACTGGGGAACATGAGCAGAAATGCAGTAGTAGACCAGTAGGCCAGTGGACAGTATCAAGCAGTTTGAATGGAGTCTGAGATGGAAAGAGAAGAGAGAAGAGTGAAAAACAATTTAAAGAAACAATAGCCAAACACTTTCCCTTCTTTTGGCCATTTTTTCATATTTCTAAATAACTTTACTATTGCTATTTTTAGATTTTTTTTTGTCTGATTGACTCCATATTATGGGAATTTAGCCTCTCTCCCACCAACCCTTCTTCCCAACACACACTTACATGCACATATATACCCACATGCTTCATCTAAGTATGATTGTCTCACTGTAGTTAGGTAGGTTTTTTCAGTGTTACATGTCCCTGTCTTTTTCACTGTTGTACCACATACATTTGTTTTCTTGTACAATAGTTTTGTTTGTCGCGGAGCTAATATTTCCTTGTTGTTTATTTGCTTAGTTTTCTAAGTGCGTATTTATATTCCTTCTCAAAACTCTCCAGTTAAAAACCTCTGAGCACATTCAGACACATCAGAAATTCTGTTGGTTTCATTTTATTCTTGGAGACATACCTGTTAGAGTCTTCTGGCTTTGTTGTGCTTTAGACTGCTGTGTGGAAGTCATCTGGGGCCTCCCCTCCCAAGTAATTTTCTTCCTCTCTTCTTTTGGATCTCAGATCTTTACCTTTTTAGTTTATTCCCTCATTGTGATGGAATATATCCTCTGTAACTTCTTGAGAAAGGATGCGCAGGAGATAACAAATTTTGAGGCTTTGTATGAGAGGCAGAATGATGACTTCCAAAAGATGCCCACATCCTAATCCCTGGAACCCGTGGGATATGTTACGTTACCTATCGAAAGGACTTTACGGCTATGATTAAGGGTCTTGAGATGGGAGATTTCCTGGATCCGCCATGTGAGCCCAGTGTAATCATAGGAGTCCTTAAAAGAGGGAGACAGGAGGATCAGAATCAGAAAGAGTTTAGAGATGCTGTTCTGCTGGCTTTGAAGATGAAGGAAGGGATCGTAAGCCAAGAAATGCAGACAGCTCCCATAAACTGGAGAAGGCGAGGAACCACATTCTCCCAGAGCCCCCAGAAAGAATGCAGCCCTGTTGCTACCTTGATTTAACCCCGTGAAACCCATTTCAGACTTCTGACCTCCAGAACTGTAAGATAACACATTGGTTTTGAGCAGGCCTAAAAATTGTTTCTATTCTTCTCCCTTAAGCTTGGTTGATAATCTGGTTGGGTAGGACTCCAGGATGGAAGTCTTTTTCCTTCAGCATTTTGAGGCATTGCTGCTTTTTCTAGCTTCCAGTGCTGAGAAGTTGATACTGTTGTGATTCTTCATCCTTTGTGTGAGACCAGCTTTATTCCCCTTCTGTTAGAGTCTTTTTTACCCCTCGTGTTCTGAAATTTTATAAAATTGTGGGCCTTTTTTATTCATTGTGCTGGCTACTCAGTGGGCACTTTCAGTCTGAGAACTGTGTCCTTCAGTTTTAGGATACCATCATCCATTATTCTTTGGAAAATTTCCTCCTTCCACTTTCTGTTCTCTGTTCTCTTGGAAATTCCTGTTAGAAATTGAATCATCTCCCACAGCAATCCTTTAGTTTTCTTATTTTTCCTGTTTTACAGTTTTCTTCTATCTAGTACATTTCTGCAACGTCATCTTCCAGCTTTTATTGAATATTTAATTTCTGCTATCATTTTTTTCCTGATTTGCAAGAGCTATTGTTTATTCTCTGATTCTAATATCCTGGATGTGTTGACTTATCTCTCTGAGTATATCATTTTTTTCTTCTGTTTTTATGCGTTAAAAAATATATTTTCTTCTGTTACTGGATTTTGCTGTTTCTTTTGAACTCCCTTTTTTCTTTGATAATTTTTGCCTTTCATGTTAGAAGCTTTCCTCAAATGTCCTTGGTTATCTGTTCACACTGAAGGTACTCAAATCTGATCCCAAGCTCTTTGTGCAGAGACAGAGTTTACTGGATCGTGGGCTTCCTGTTTGTATAAAGTGCTGGCTGGCTGTCATTGGGGGACCTCTAAGTGTTAATTGCTAGGAGTCTTTTCTCTTGGGTTAGTCGACTTCTCCAGAAGGAAATCCTCAGATTTCATGCTTGGGAACGGAGCAGAGGGAGCAGAGAGCAGGGCTCACTGCTGTCAGCCAACTTGCCCGCCTCTTCTCAGTGCCAGCACCCCACCCTGTGCCTGCTGTCCCTGAGTCAGACTGGCTCAGCTCTCCTGTGAGTAAACCCCCGGGGTTCTGCCCAGGCCTGACTCTGGCATTTTCTGGAGGTTAGAGAGAAGCAACTCAAGCACTGTGTCAATCTACATTATCATTTTTTCGGCATTTGCAGAATGATACCAGGTCAGCGTTGAGAGGAAAATTCTAGTGTTCCTCAGGGCTGGCTCCTGGGTTCCCCCCACTGTGCTCAGTGCAGGCCCCAAAGGCCTCTTCTCTCTTCAACCTGCTGCAGATCAGGATTTTTTTTTTCTTTTCCAACATAGATAAATCTTTTACTTACTTATTAATTTTTTTAGATCAAGGTTTCTGTTCGGTGACACATACCTGGAGTACCTTCGTCTCACTCAGTCACTTTTCATCAAGTCACGATGCCTCTTTTATTTTACAGTTACACGCGTTGTTAAAGCTCTTTTCTGCCTTACCAGCTTCTGGAGCTTAAAAATCCTTTGCCAGTTAACACAAGACTTGGAAGAGGACTGTGTGACCTCCTTGCAGATTGATCTTCCAATTTTTATTTTACTTAGATTTGCAGTCAGTGGTCAACTCGTAACAGGGGCTGCTCTCCTAGGGTTAAAACACTTCCTGCAGATCCTCCACACGGCTCCTCAGCACTGCCGGGCGTCAGGTGACCCTGGGGCGTGCCATTGCTTGTTGGTTACTTGTCTCACATGCCGCCTTCAGTACGGGTCCCGGAAGCACCTCTCTGTCAGAGCAGCGGAGGACTTTGTGAAAGTTGTTCTCACCAGAATCCTTTTGGTACACTCCACCTTCAGTTTGTTCAGACTGAGGCAGAAAGATTTTCGCGGTTTAGTGAAAACTCACTTGGCCTGATAGGTTTATCCTATTAGGGAATTGATGAGATTAAATAGTTTTTTTTAAGGTAAGTTATTTATTTTTTGTTTGTTAAGACTCAGGTTCTTTCCATCTTAGTCGCTCATCCTCTGCATATTGTCTTTTATTCTCAGGCGCCTTCCCTCAGCCTTAAACTGGCTGCTCATGAAAAAAGGCACCTGCAGGGAGAGCTGAATCTACCCCCAGGCAGCTTTTATTACAGAGGAAGATCTTGACCGGAAGCGCCTCCCCAGCAAACTTCTAAGTCCCCTTGGCCAGAGTGGCTCACATGCTAATGCCTTTTCCAGCCATCTGCAGGGGGACAGGAATTGTGGCTGGCTTCACCCCTGGGGGCAGGGGGGGGGACCATTTACCTGAGCAAAGGGAGGGTGAACACCGGAACCAAAGGAGGGCTCTTCCAGGGAGCAGAGTGGGAAGCTGAGTTGGGAAGCTGGTAGGTAAGCACTACCTAGGGTTTGGAGAATTCTGGCTTTAGGGAAAAGATAAGTACAACCCTCTCTTTGCGAAAAGCTTAGTTTTGACTGACATTAGTGTGAAATAATTATTGTTATAGTATTTGAACCGTTGGTTTTCTAGATCCTTTCCTGGAAATGGTTAACGCTTTGTGTGCAAACGGCAAATGTTTTTGGAGGACAGTGATTGTGTGGAATAGTTACGTACGTGTCAGCTATGGTATGTAGATGTGTTGTGTTTCCCAAACATATACATCATATGTGTTCTCTCATTTAGACCTCATAACAGCCCTGTGAGCTAAGTTCTTTCATTGCCTCTATTTTACCCAAGAAGAAACTGAGGCTTAGTTAGGTTGAGTCACTTGCTCAAGGTCAGGAGTTCGTGGCAGAGCTAGTGTTAGACCCAGATCTGTGTGGCTCTGAGGCATGTACTTACTGCGTCCTGCCTGTCCAGTTCTTTTCAGCTTCGTTTTGATAATCAGTTTCATTTATCTCAAAGAATGTCACAGTACACAGCTGTGTTTCACATCTATTTTGGTGACGTGAAATGAATACTGAAAATGTGTTCTGTGAACAGTCAGCGAGCATGTTAGGAGCAGGTGTTCTCGCTTAGTGATACCTCTGCTGGGGTGTCAGGTGTGTTTCCACTCATGCCTGAAGGTCCAGATTCAGGTTATAAAGGGCTTACAGAGACTGGAAAGTGCACTTCAGGACATCACATAATAGCTTCTGAGTGATAAATACATGTTTAGAGGTAGATCTCCCTGCTCCTCCAGAACCCTCCCCCTACACCTTCACCAGTATGTTTTTATGTTGGAGTAAGTTTCTTGCAGGTAGAGTTCAGGGATAGTTTTATCTCTAACTGGAACTAAAAGAATAGACTTAGGTCAAGCAATAAAGTTTCTTGAAACATTTTCAGATTATTTGTGTAGTAAATAGTTGGGGAAATATATTATATACAGAGCAGTTTTTCACTTGTTTATTGTAATTCTTTGTGGCAAAGCCAAAAAAGAAAAAAAGGAGGAGTGTGAAGATGTACGGTAAAAACAGCTAAGTTAGTGTAGGTGGAGGTGTTGGTGTTAATTCTTGAACACACAAAAGTGAGGGTCTTAGTGATGGCAGGTTCATTTCCATTGATCTGGGTTCTCTGGCTCCTCCTGAAGTCCTAAGTGGTATTTTTGGCCCTCAGAGCATTAGGGTCCTGAGGCAAGTTCCCCAGAGAACAGGGTACCTTCAGCTTCCAAATCTGCCTCGGAACCGGGCTACAGAGAACTGTTCTAGACCGAGCTGGAGCCATTCTAGATTGAGCTAGATCCATCAGGAGATTCCTGACCTCAGCTCACACCCCAGAATTCCTCTAGATCCATTATTTCATCTGTTCTTTCACCCACCACCTACGGTCTGTTCTAGGCACTTAACTAACAAAGTCTGACCTTAGGACCTTATTGTGTTCTAAGGAGCAAAGGGAGGGAGGACATCAGAGAGTGGGAAGCAAGTCCATTCATAGGAGGGAGTTCCTTTTGTCCTTCAATGATTTCCCAGTCATTTTCAACAAATTGTTGCGTTCTCTTGCCATGAGAGACAGTACTGTCTGACGTGAATGACCTTACGGGTGTTTTAATGTTGACTGACTGTCTCAGATTATTCTGTTACTTTCTTCTCTACTTCATCTGTTCTCTTTCTTTTCCACCCTCACAGCGTCTTGGTTATCTATTGCTATGTAACAAACCGCCTTAAAAGATAATGGCTTAACAACAGCCACCATTTATCTGGCTCCAGCTCCTGTGGGCTGGTTGGGCAGACCCTCTGGTCTGGGGCAGTTCAGCTGACCTCTGCTGGCTCACTTGTGCATCTGCAGTTGGCTGGACAGTCTCGTAGGCTGACAGCTGGCAGACAGTTGGCCAGAGAGACAAAGGACAACTGGGCCCTGGGTCTCCCATCAGCCATCAGGTAGCTCGGGCTTCCTTCACATGGTGGTGGTGGCCGCATGGGTCTCAAGATCAAGGAGAGAGTGGAAGCTGCGAGGCCTGTGGAAATCTAGGGGTGGAACTTGCATATGTTACTTCTGCCACGTTCTGTGGGTCACAGCAAGTGACAAGACTAGCCCAGATTCAGGGGATCAAGAAGCAAGTTCTTATTCCTGGTGCGGGGAGCTGTAGCACTGTATTGCAAGGGTGTAGGGAAAAGCGTTTACATCCGTTTGTGCAATCCATCACATGGTATAAACTCCTTCCCCCAGAACGCCTAATGATACGAGGTCTTCTTGTCTGGGAAGTTATGTAATTTAATTCCAGGGTCCGTCCTATTGGAAATGACTATTACCAGGGATCGGTTAACTTGCTAGAAAACACTTTGTTTTCGTTCTTTTCCTAGTAGTAGAAAATAGAGGGCATTTAAAAACTTTTTCCCCAAGATTTACATTTAACTTGCAGCTTTCTGAGTTGGATTTAGAGGATCTCAGTCTGATTCAGCATTAACAGGGGGATCCATTCTGTTACCCATGACAGGCGTGAGGGAATCACACACTGACTAAAGACAAACACACTGACTTCCACTGCTTGATTTACTTGCTTGGTTGCCTCGGTATATTTTCAAGTGTATCGCGATAACAAGACGTTCGTGACAATAATGACTAATGTGGATCGAGTGCTGTCTGTCAGGCACTGCTCATTGGTAGATATCATCTCATTTAATTCTCACAACCGCCTTAAGAGGTAGAAGACTATTGTTCATGCCATTTTAGAGATGAAGAAGCCAGTGCTTGGGGGTTTAAAAATATGCCCCAGGGCACACAACTCATGCTCACCAGTGCTCCTGCCATGCTCAGGTCATCCACTCAGGCTGCGGATCTGCCCGAGTTCCGCTGGGTCTAGCCCTTGGATGTTACAGCTCCACTTTTAGGGCTGTAGCCCTTTCAGCTGCGTTTGTCCCTTACTAGAAGTCAAGGGCCCTGAACTACAGGATCCACGTAACACACTAGAGGATGCAGGTGGTGGGGCTCCTAGGCGGGAGTGAGGATGTTTATCTTAAGCCACATGCTTTTGGCTACTGAGCTTATGATTTCAAAGTTGAGAGTTTAAACACAATAGTCGACAATTTAAGGAGAGTATCCCCGGCTTGGAAGAAAAGTTGACTTTGGGTTTCCTGAACCCTCTCTTTTAAAACCAGGACTATTTGGTTGTTGTTTACAAGTTTAGAATCTCTGGGTTGGAAGGGCCTCTCAGGGTTGTGCAGTGCAACCACCTGTCTGATGTTTGAACTCCCAGCCTCCCACCCTTGTTCTCCTCGGGGGGCACCCCAGCAGCTCTCTGCCTTCCTTACTGCCAAGGCTAAGACGAGGCCCTCTCCTACTTCAGTCCATCCAGAGCTTCTCCTTATAGCTCTATAGACTGGTTTTTGGAGGGGTTTTTTTTTATTATTATTTTAAATCAAGAAGAACGGTTACCTGATCTTAGATATCAAAGAAGCAATCATTTTATCGGTTATGGTAAGATTAGACTAAAAGAATCATATAAGGAGGTACATGGAAGAATATTTGAAAAATTTTTAAGTACTTACCTGTTTATAAAGTGACCAGTTCAAATTGACGGTCTTTTTGGACGGCACTGAATATGTTGGTTTCTTGTATCATTTTGAAAGTCATGATTTCAGTGGGTCTCAGGCTGTTAGGAGTACCCATCTTGGTCCTTAAGACTCTGATCCCCATTACAAGAGGTGAGGAGTTCTGTGGCAGATATTAAGATAAGGGTAATTCCTGAAAAGGAATATTATATTGTTACAGAACCTTTGAAACAGATGCAAAAGTAGACAGAATAATGTAACAAATCTCCATGTACCAGCTTTAACAACTACGGACATGTACCTGATCTTGTTTTAAAAGTCTGTCTTGGACATATTGTTCCTAAGAAGGAACATATGTTCCTGAAGACATTCAAAAGGGTCTGGAACCCTAACAATACCACCTTCGTGATTGCTTCTGTCCCTGCGCCTGACGGGGCCCCCAGTTTTTCCAGACCTCTAATTGTACTTCTCTTCCCCAGGGCCCAGTCATATACGCGCAGCTAGACCACTCCGGCGGACATCACAGTGACAAGATTAACAAGTCAGAGTCTGTGGTGTATGCGGACATCCGGAAAAACTAAGAGACGACCCCGATCATCTCCTAAGCAAGAAACAAATCCAAACTGGACTCTTGGGGCAGAAAAATGTAGCCCATGACCACGTGTGGCCTTGGAGACCTGGGCAAGGACAAGCACATGTTTATTCAGAGAAGGAGAAAAAGATGTGTATAAAGGATGTGTATAAATATTCTATTTAATCTTCCTGATGTGAGGAGCCAGTGTTGCATGACGAGAAGATGGTATGATTCTACGTATATGTAAATTGTCTTGCGGTTTTTGTACTTCCATTCAGGGTTTAATTACAGTTGGGAAAATTCAGACACATTCCTCTTCGCATCGTTTAGAAGTGGTTTGCCTTAATGGAGGCGGCAGCAGATCTTTTAGTATGATACTAGACATGGCCTTTTAGTCTAAGGGCTTAACCCGCCTTAGCATTGATTTTAGCCAGAGAGTGGAGATACTATGAAAAAGCACGTCCAGGGTGGCCTTCGACCACGTGCACCACCTATCGGGTTATTGTTTTTAGAAAGCGTCGATTCGCTATGCCACCTGAGGACAGTTTGAGAAGTTTCTGTTGATGTTTTTCTAAGATACAGGGCAGTTTTTAGCTTTCTCTCTTGTGTAGACTTACTCTAACATTACACCCTTCAAGCATATCGTCATCAGAGCAAGCTGTGCAGAGGATTAGTGCCGGAGGCCACTTCCTCCCAGATACTGGTAGATCAACCCCGTACGTGGACCTGGAGTAGTGACCCCAGGCCCGGCCTGAGGAGCTCTGTACCATTTGGAGAGTAACAGGTATCAGTTTGTATTCTTTGCTGAAGTCCTCCCTACCTATCATGACAGTCCCCATTCGGCTGAAGGAGAGGAGTTTCATTTCCCTCTATGTAGGCAGACACGGAATAATTAGACTGCCAGTCTCCAGCATCACAGAGCTCTCTGCAGAGGGTCGTCTCTATAAAGCTTCAGTCATGCTTCCTGTAAGAGCAGCGTCAGTCACGGTGCATCCACGTAGCTTCCTGGTGCCTCTGGGACCTGTGACATTACAGAGGGTCTAGAGTTTTTTAATCAGCAAACAAGGGTAGTACTTGTGCTTTGGGAATCTCTTCTCTAATCCTGGTTGTCTTATTTTTTTTCTTCCTTTCTCCCTTCTGTTTTTCTTCTCCCCCCGCCCCCCATTACATGGAATTGATAAACAATTAGATGAGGAAAAATCTAGATAATTTGGGCATCCTTCCCAAAAACTCACCTTCTGCCGTTGAATGCCCCCGCCCCCATCTCAAACATGTCTGTTTCTTTGAACTGGGAGTGAAAAGCCTCGTGAAAATCTTTAAACGTGGACTTCTATTGCCACTCCCCCGTTTTCTGGATTCTTCTGTTTTGAAAGAATTTTTTTCCATTTCAAATGGAAAGCCCACAGTTACAGGAAGAATGCTGACGATCTGGTCCCAGAAGGTGGTCGGGTGAGTGGGGGTGACGGGTAATGTTAGTTCTTCTCCCATGCAGTTTTTTCCTTCCTGTCTTGTCATCCTTGTGAGGGAGCTTGAAGGCCGAGTTCTAAGGGAATAAAGAAGGATTCAGAGGTAAAGGTGTGCATCAGGTGATTAGAGAGAGAGAGGGCGCACGGGCTGTGAAAACAGGTCCCGCCCCGCCCCCACCCCGCACCTGCGATCGTCTATGTTATGAGGGACTGTTTGCTGTTATTCCCACAGAGGGGCTCGGACTCCCAGCCCCTTTACGTGCACGGAGACGGGAGGGGTTTTGTCACCACACGTGCCTGCCGCCTTGTGCGTCTGGTCGAGTGTGAAAGGAGGACAGGTGCTTGCTGTCCTGTGTCTCCCTCTTCTGTGCTCACAGGCCCCACGCAGGAGAGGGACACAGAGTCCTCCCCCCGAGACAGCCCTGCCAAGTGGCCAGCTTTGCCTTGCACCCTAGCTCTGCTCTGCCTCCACGGTGATCACTGCAGGAGCCTTTAGGAGACCTTTCTGGGGGCGGGAGGGGGCTGGGATGGCACCATTCTGCAGGCTGATGCCAGGAGAATGATGCTCTTGGTGAGCCCTCGCCTCTGTCAGAATTGTACTGCCATCCAAGACTTTTTAAGACCAAGTATGTATATTGAGAAGTGTAGTTTCCTTGTAGTCTTTTTTTTTTTTAACAGAAAAGGGACATTCTCCTTTTCCTCCTTTCTCGACAGATCCAATGAATCTACTAAACATTCCTGACATCTTCTGATAGCAGAAGCCCTAA